GAAGAAGAGTGATGATGGGTGATGCGCAACTCACTCAATCTTTCAAAAACACTTTTGCACTCTCGACAAGAACTCAGGACTTGAGAGGGAAGAAAGGTCGGCCTTGGTGCGACCACTGCAAAAAGTCTGACCATGTCCGCGACAAATGCTGGAAACTCCATGGAAAACCAGCCGATTGAAAGTTGCCCAGACCAGAAACCGACCACCATGGTAGTCACGCGTCCGCTGGAGAAGCATCTATGAGTTCTGTGGAGAGTAGCCCCTTTAGCCTCAAGCAGCTAGAAGCATTTCAGAAAATTTTGACCCAGAAAAATTATCAGCCTTCAATCAACACATCAGTGGCACACAAAGGTAAAATTCATGATTTATCTGTGTATTCAGCAAAGCAGGTTTTGGTGGTTGATTCTGGAGCGTCGGATCATATGATTGGAGGTGTGTTACTGCTCCAAAATTACAACAAATTTGAAGAAAATATTTTGATTAAAACTGCTGAAAGGTCTGTCTCCAAAGTGGCTAGATGTGGCTTCGTAATTTTATCTCTAAATTTGACATTTTATTCAGTCTTTTATGTGCTAAAATTAGACTGTAATTTGTTATCAGCGAGCAAGCTTTGTGGAGAGCAGAAATGTGTTACTAAATTTGTTTCTAATTTGTGTGAATTCAAGACTTGGACTCGGGGAGGATGATTGGCAATGCTAGGATGATTTTAGGACTATACCTTCTTCAAACAGACACTTCTAGGGGATAAACTCAAAATGCAGTATGTGCAAATTCTGTTTCTATAAGTCATTCAGATAATGATCAAAATATCATGTTATGACATTATCAAATAGGGCACCCAAATTTTGTTTATTTAAAAAAGTTGTTTCCTTCACTGTTTAAGAATAAAGATCCTGTTTCATTTCAATGTGAAGTATGCCAATTTTCAAAACACATTTGCAATTATTTTCCTAGTTTACCATATAAATCTTCTAAACCATTTGCATTAATTCATAGCGATGTATGGGAACCTTCCCGAGTCACTAACATACCGGAATTAGGTGATTTATATCATTTATTGATGATCATACAAGAATTATCTGGATATTTCTTATGAGAGAAAAATCTGATGTTGGACCTATTTTCAAAAAAATTCAATACCATGATCCAAACACAATTTCATATTAATATTCAAGTTTTAAAATCCAATAATACATGTGAATATTTCGAAACCTCTATTGGAAAATATTTCACTGATCATTGCATTATTTACCAAAGGTCGTGTGCCCATATCCCACAACAAAATGGTATAGCTGAAAGGAAAAACCGACACATCCTGGAGGTTGCCCGCTCAATCATGTTTACCACTCACGTCCCAAAATTTCTTTGGGGAGAGGCTCTACTCACTACCACTTACTTGATAAATCGGATGTCTTCCCGTATTCTCAACTTCCAGTCACCATATAAATTACTCTCACAAACCTTTTTGA